CTGGCCACGCAAGACCCGACGAGGATAATTTTGTCCATCTGTTCAGAAGACTATAAATAGTACTTTTTTGGTCTTTTTTTATAACTTCTGACAGAGAGGAATATTGTACGAGCGGCTGTGAGTTTTCCTCAGGGTTGACAAATGGCATCACGGTTTCTCAATCTTCTTTTCTATTAGTATCAATGACAGGATTAAAGGATAATTTGATTATTTCTTCTATTGTCATGTCTAGCTAAATTCATTAGCTAGGGTTATGAATCTGGAATGGTGTTATGACTATGGGTTATTAATATAGATTTGTCTTTGATTAAATATTGTGTTATCTAATTGCTCCATGCTTTCTTGTATGATTTGGTGGTTGCAAACACTAGATTAACGCCCATCACACTTAGTTCTAACTTGGAAAAGTGGAACTGAGTTTAGGTATAAAGCAATTAGCAAAGAATTGGGTAGATTAAGGAATTAATCTCATCTCAATTGATAGAATCAAACTAGGAATGAGGAGATTCTTACTTGGGCATTAACAATTGTATTGCATAGAGCTCTAAATAGTCTGGAAAGACATTTGTGAGTAAAAACCCCTTAGCGTTGGAAAATACTAAGTTGGTATTATTGATATTGTTGTCATAATACATGTTTGATTGATTGGAATCGAATACATCTATACCCATAGCATAGCATACACGAAGGAGGAGCAACCCTAGTGCTTTCTCTCATTGGTTACTGCTTTCTAATTATTTTCACATTCTAAGTGTTTGATTAAACTTCAAAGTCATAACTTTTAGAAGTAATTGCAGAAAATCAATCTTTTATTTGAAGATTACTTTAAGTTCATTGAATTCACCAACTCTTTGACATTCTAGCACACACCATACTCCTCGTGGGATCGACCCAACCTTGTTGGGTTTATTATTGCGATCGACCGTAATACTTTCAATTTGAGAGTAGGATTGGACGTGACCCGTCCATGATTCATGGTCCAAGAGTAGTAGACTAGAAAACACAAGCAAAGAAATTACCAACAACAGAAGTATCAATCTGAGTGACAGAGGCTACTTGTGGAAGTATCTGCTTAGTTGCTCGATGCTGAAGGAATTCATTATACTCCCCCTTCAAATAAAGAAAATCCATGTTACCTACCGTCCCGGTCTGAGCAATATGAGCATTTCTAGGTGGTCGGCCATGCAAAGAGTAACACACCTCGAGTGTGTCCAAGCTTATTACAATAAGAACACTTAGGTCGAGATCTTCCAAAGCGACCTCCTCCTCGTCTATTCTCCATAGTTTGAGATGCCCGATTTTCCACAGTCTGGGATGCGAGATCTGTGATGTTGTGTGACTGGGTGCTACCGCAAGGCGAAGTAATTGAGAGAATAATTCATCAACTATAGGGACAGTCAGACTAGCCAAAATCTAGTTGCATAACGAATCAAGATCATTAGGAAGTCCAACGAGGGTAAGAACTATGAAAATTTCGTCGCTGCTCTTGTTGCTTTTCAACACTAGCAAAAACCGGCATCAACATCTCAGATTCCTCCATGACTGCATGTACTCGTCCCAAGTAGGCATATCTAATTCCTGTTTCTTTAAATTTGTCATCTGTGATATCACATCATAGAAACGAGATATGTCATTAGTGTATAAAGTGCGAGACTTTTTCCAAATTAAGTAACATGTCTGAAATGGACGAAACAAGGGCATTAACTTGGAATCAATATATCGCCACAAGATACTACATAACTGAGCATCGATCTTCTCCCAAAGCACTTTGGTCTTTTCATCTCCCTCACTAGCCTTTTTGGTTAAATGATCTTGAACACCTTGACCTTTACATCATAACTCAACAGACGAAGCCCACGCTAAGTAGTTTGAACTTTCCCTTAAAGGTTCCGAAGTAATCATAACACTTGGACTTCCAGAACCCGTACTTTTAGAACCAAAAACATCAAATCCCAAAGACATCGTTGGGATGAAGAGGGATCCAGCAGATTATCACCAAATAAAGGAAAGAATCAACTATAACTCGTTGAAATAGGCGAAGGACACACAGTAGTTGCCGGAAAATATATCTTTTGCCGAAAAAATAAAAAGTTCGATGAAACTGTTGACACCTGAGTGGGTAGGCTTGGATTGAAGAGATGAAGCAGAAAGAATCGCCGGAATCTGCAAAAACAGTCGCCTAAGTTCCCAAAAAATCACTGGAAAATAAAAAACTTGTCAAATTTTGGTGAAACTTTGATGGGTAGGCTCAGAAAAACCTCGCGAACAAGTTGTCCGAAAAAAGTTCTCCGAAATTTGGCGGAAATGACCACATGCGACGGCACGTGAGTCGGACCTCCACCGGAAAAAACTCTGCTAACGGCACATGAGAGCGCGTAGCACACTTTGTGCTGGAGAAATTTTTGGGGTTTGGTCGCCGGAGGCTGCCGATGGAAAATAACTTTCTTGTGGACAACCCTGATTTGCTGGAAAAAAAGACTAGTTAACTGAATTGTTTTCTTCCCGAAGTTGCTGAAATTTATGCACAACGATAAATCTCTCACGATTGCTCTAATATCATGTGAGAAAGCACGGGAGAAAAATATATTATTGATGTGTTTAAACTATAATATAAGGACCCTATTTATAACAATACACAATACATACATTATTCCTATTCCATGTGGGACTATACTTATTCACATGAACTAACTCTAACAGTAACGGTGACCATTGTACAAAAGACCAACATGATCGCCAAGAGGAGTCTATCCATGAAAGAATTAGATAATATTTCTATTCAAGCAAGAAAAAACAAATTTGACGCATAGTTTCATAACTTTATGCCTTCAACTTGTCAAAGGTCAACACAGGGCACATATCTTACTAATGAGCCAACTGCAGCATACCCTAACTTTTAAAGCTTGGACCAGAAGAGCTTAAGGACATCAGACATATCAGCTGGTGGGGAGCTTTTTATAAGATCATCTTCAAGTTGTTGACACAGAGACTAAGAGGTTATGCTAAAGTTAGCTTCTGACACACATTTGCCCATTATTTTTTATTTTTTATTTTTTGATAAAGTACATTTACCCTTTATTAAGGAAGACAGATCATTGATGTGATTCTCATTGCCAACAACTGTTTAAACTCAAGGAAAAGACAAAGGGGGGCTGGCTTGTGTTGCAAATTGGTCATTGAAAAAGCTTTTGACCATGTAAATTGGATCTACCTACTCAATATGCTGACAGAGATGTGGCTCGGTGAGAAATAGATCAAATGGATAAGTTTCTGCATCTCCATTGTCATATTTTCCATCATTATGAATGGAACTCCCAGAAGATTTTCGTTCCTTCTCGCAGGGGGTTGAGACAAGGGGACCTTCTATCCCCTTTCCTATTTGTTCTGGTCATGGAAGGGCTTAGCAAAATGTTATGCAAAACTAGGGATCTTAACTTGGATCAAGGGTTTCTCAGTGAATGCAAGGAATCTTCAAAGAATTGAAGTTATGCACCTTTTCTATGCAAATGACACCTTAATCCGTTGTGGAGCTGAGGAAAACCAATTAAGGAATCTAAGAGTCATTTTGCTGATTTTTGAGGCAGTGTAGCAGCCAAAAATCAACATTGAGAAAAGGTTTTACGTATCCCGTGAACGAGATGCAAGATCTTGTGATTAATTTTGGAGGCTAGATAGGGCCTAGGGGAACTTCCAACAACATATTTGGGGATGCCTTTGGGGACCCGACATAAAGCCAAAGAAATATGGCAAGGAGTCATCACAAAGTTTGAAAGAAATTGGATATATGGAAAAGGCTATATCTCTCACTTGGAGTTAGAGTGGTCCTAATTAACAGTGTACTTGATTCTCTTCCAACCAATCTAATGTACGTTTCTCCAATACCCTCTAAGGTGAGGAAAACATTGGATAAATCAAAAGAGACTTCTTATGGGATGGCGACAAAGAGAAAGGAACTTCCACTTGATTAAATGGGACAAAGTGTTGCTGGAAAAGAAAGTAGGTGGTCTTGGGATCAAAAATTTGAAGAACTAAAACAACTCATTGTGGTAGAATGGCTATGGAGATATGGAAAAGAAGAAGGTTACCCATGGAGGAATTCGATTTAAATGCAAGTATGGGGATCGCAAGGCTTGGTGTACCGACTCTGTGAACTCGCCTCATCGTTTCGGCCTCTAGAAGCATAATAGTCTCTGGCTACAATTTAAGGCTAACATTGCAATCAAATTAGGTGATGGAACGAAGATACTTTTTTGCATTGATGAATTGTTAGGTCAATCCCCCCTAAACAGTACTTTCCCTGATCATTATTAGTTTATTTTGGATACTGAGAAGTCAGTTTATCATTGCTAGCACAATGAAATTGGAGCCTCAACTTTAGAAGGTAATGCTTTAACTGGGAGATTCAAAGATTGGCCAAACTGTTGCACGACATCGACAAAGTGCTTTAATAACAAGCTGAGTTAAGTGGAACTGTAGCTCCTAATCACATATTTAGACCTCAAAAGTTTTAAAAAGAAACACACACAAACACACACATAAGAGAGAGAGGGAGACAGAAGCTTGTTCTTGGACATTAAACAAGCCAAGCCAAAAAGCTTAGTTTGCTTAAATTGAGCTCGACAGCAAGCTCAAGTTTGGTTGCTTTAATAGACAAACAAGCTAAAAGTCAAGCTTAATGAGCCGCTCACTCTTTAATCACGTGCAAAAATTCATCTATACCCTACCTATGAATAGTAACATATAACTCTGATGCATAAATACTTGTTTGCAGCTTCATAACAGCTGTTCAGTAGGAAGCACAGAATGCAGTAAAGTAGACAAACTTGCACAAAGGGCAGTGATTTAGAATGACAAAGTACAGCAAAATTGATCATAAGCCATTATTTTGTTTTTCCTTTTTTTCCCTTGCATCACACACATAGAAGTGGAACTTATTGCAAGTGTCGAATGCCACACCAAAAAAAGTACAGTATCTAAGGGTACCAAGTACGAAGTAAAACCTGCAGAAGAACGACACAATGCTCTGGAAGTCCAATCTTTCTGAAGGGCACTGAAAACCATTTATTCCACACAAATTCATCATCAGGATTCTGCAAGGGCATACGACTTGGAAAAGGTCTAGTAATGTCCCTCGATTCACAAAAATAATGCTTGCCATCAATGTCAAGCTCTGTCACTTCTTGAACATTCTTTAATTCACCTTTGCCCAGTGGCTGAGGGTTTTGAAGTGAAATCTTGATCCATTGGCTCTCAGTTACTGTATATACACATCCACCCCCAGGCAAATTTGGAATGCTGGCTGACAACTTTGTCGCAACAAGAAGTAAACCAAAGCTCCCAAGGGCAGTATATCCTAGCACAGCCCTGGCATAGGTTATACTCTTGCACAGCCATTTTGAACCATTCGTCACATAATCTAAGGCTTCACTTTGAGAATTGAAAATATCATATCCTGTCTTTTCATTGTAGCGAAGATTTCCAGTTGTGGGATCAACATAGATCACCTGAGTNCTAAAAAGGTGAAGTCACCCATATTTACAAGGAAAGTGCCCAGAAAGAAAAATAAACATTAAATATCCTTGGTCATCTCACAAGGAATCTAGAACATCAAAAATGGATTCATGATCCTCCAACAACTTTCCTTTACACCAAAAATAGAAAAGCGCCAAACATTTCATCTTTATCTTCTGGATGTTACTGGACTTGTCTTCAAAACATCTTTGGTTTCTCTCTTCCCAAATTGTCCACCATATGCATGTCGAAACAATTCTCCATCTCTCTTTATAACTAGTAATGTTGCCCTCTTTATTCCAGCAATTTAGAACATCATTAATTTTTTCTGACATTGCTCATGAAATTCCCCGTAAGCTGACGAAGATTCTCCATATTTGTACAGTGAATTTACAATGCAAAAAAAGATGGCTAATTGTCTCTGTCTTCTCTCCACATAAGTAACATCTAGAGCACAGGTGGAATCCTCTTTTGATTAAGTTGTCTTGTGTTAGTACTGCTTCTTTTGCCAATAACCATGTAAAGCAAGCAACCTTGTGTGGAATTTTTACTTTCCATATCATCTTCCATGGCCAACAACCAACCCGATTGTTTGACAAGTTGAATTCCTTGTAAGCAGATCTAACAGAAAACTTCCCTGCCTATTCTTTTGCCATACGATAAGATCTTAATTAGAATTGATACCACGAAATAGCTCCAAAGTATTGTAAAAGTCAGTTACTTTTTCAATCTCCCAATCATTTAGCAATCTTCTGAATGTAAGGTTCCATCCCTGATTCGTCCATGCCTCATGTAATGTTACTTGTTGTTGATTCAAAGAATATATGTCAGGAAAGAGATCCTTCAATGGTCCTTGACCTATCCAATTGTCATCCCACAGTGAAATCTTCCTACCATTTCCTACCTTGAACTTGGATTTGTTAATCAGTTTTGGCCACAGATTCCTGATTGATTTCCACAAGCTGACACCGTATGGGTTTCTCACTGATTTGGTTGTCCATTTTCCTTCCATTCCATATTTCTCCGTAACAACCTTCGTCCACAATGATTGTTCATCTGCTGCAAGTTGTCCATTTTCCTTGGGCTTCTCATATTGTTGTTGATTCTTTACCTTCGTATACTGGAAAGAGTACTCATATAGCATCAATTATCGATACATGCCGACGTTGTCAAGGCTCTGCCAGGCGCCTGCTTTAGAATGGAGACGATTGGCATCCTGCGAGCCTCTACGAGGTGAATGAAATTAAAGTTACTTACCGGGAATTTGGCTAAGCTATACCAATCCCGGCGCCACCTCTATGACGTAGGAATCTTCCATCATCGAGAATTTCATTGTGATCCACGACGCTCCGCCAATTTTGCAGCTAGGGCTCTCTACAATCTCAAGTTAAGCATGGGCTCCCTTTCCAATAAATTGAAGTTCTGAGTCTAATTGATACGTACTTAGAGACAATTTCTGCTGATCCAGAGTCTAATTTGTGAGCTTCCTGATAACCTAAGGAGTCTTAAAAGCTTGTTAATCTGGACCTTTTGTTAAAAACTTGTGTTACTCAGTGAGTTCAACTACTGATGTACATATTGAGTTGTACAACAACTCGTTTACCGGTGAGTTTCCGGCGAAAAGAAGTTTAAAGATGACAGCAGCTGTGGTTTTTTGGGTTCCGGTTTGGTCGGTTTAAGAGACTACTCCTCAATCATTCAGGAATTTCACATAAAATTCACATAAGAATACAATTCCCAATATTTACCACAACAAACCAACAGAAAAATAGCAGTGCAGCTAAATGCTTAATAGAGTTACCATTATTAGCAAAGAATTTCCAAACAACTAAGCGAGAAAACAGGTACTAGTTTAATATCCAGACTTCAAATCTTACCAGATGAATCCATGCCGTGATAAATAAATAGTTTATGTACTCATGAGCATTACAACTTTGAATCTGACAAGATAAATGGAATGAGAAGTGTTAGAAAATTACCGAAAGAGGAAAAGTAATATTTTGTGTCCTATAGGAAAAATCATCTTTGCTAGATAAAAAGGGAAAGTTCATCTTATTCACCTGAATTCACATTATCATCACTTCATCAACATCCTCAGAAAAAAATTGCACCTTTCTGCCACAATTCTGATATTATTTACTGCTTTCGAATCTGCAAAAGAAGTATACAGGTCTGACAGTTCTATTCCATACGTTCCCAATCAATGAATGAAATTGAACTACAGAAACAACATCACTTTTTTTTTCTCCTACACACAAACAAAACCAGCATAAATCCTAATCGTAACAAGATCTTTAATTATTCTTTCCACTCAAACAAACAAAGAAAGTTCCTTCAAATATACCCTTGAAAACCTTCAAAAGCTATATTATATGGGTTTGTTAATATGGATCCTCTAAAACCTACCTAAAAACTAAGTCCAAGCTAAGCTTCGTGATAACTCATTACCAAGGTGAAAAATATTATATTTTGGAAAAAGAAAAGTCTCCAAGCTGAATAATTGAAACTTACGGGGAAAAAAGAATAATTGAAACTTAATTTCAGCAATTAAGAAAGGACTTCAGAATGGGTCTAATGAAACTAATAATCCATTCATTTCCCAATCAAGCAAAACAAGATTATTCGATAAAACCCTCTAAGATTCAGAATTCGCTGATCACTTTAAGTATAAACAAGTAAAAAGGAAATCAATGTATACGACTCAAATGCCCAAAAGATCAAAACTATTCATGATTCAAGCCAAGATGCAAATTGGATATGACAATTAAATCAGAACAGATCAGAATATGTGGGAGTTGGGCGATACCAAGTATCAGAACGAAATGTAACTCACCGGAAAATTCTCCAGAAGAGAGAGAGAGAGAGAGAGAGAGAGAGAGAGAGAGAGAGAGAGAGAGAGAGAGAGAGGTGTCAAATTGTGATGCGATGTTTTTTGGGCGAAGAAATATGTATTGGAGTACCATTCTACATCCACATGGTACAATACAACTATCACAAAGTAATATAGATCATAATTTATATCTATGGCTATCAATTATTAATTATTAATTATTAATTATTATTATTATTATAGTATTATTATTATTATTATTAATCTATTAATATATAAAAGGAGAAGCAAATTCATGATATTATGCCAAGTGTCAAAACAAAATATCGACACGTGTCATGTTTTAGGACAAAACTCCAATAAATTTCGAGATTCAAAAAAATAAAAAGAAAAAAAATACAAATACAAAATTTAAATAATTAACCAATTCAGTTATTCAACATCATGGTGTCTCACGTATTTATGTTAAAATATTACACAAAAAATACATTTTTTGGCAGTTAATTATGTCAAGTGTCAAAACAAAATATCGACACGTGTTATGTTTTAGGACAAAACTCCAAGAAATTTGGAGATTCAAAAAAATAAAAAGGAAAAAAAATACAAATACAAAATTTAAATAATTAACCAATTCAATTATTCAACATCATGGGGTCTCACGTCTTTATGTTAAAATATTACACACAAAACACATTTTTTGGCAGTTAATTTATATTATTTATTAAACCTGAAAATTTTAAAAAATAACATAGAAAAGATGTTCGTAAAATTTTTTAAACCTTCGGTAGTTAATAGAACATGGAATCCCACAACTTTTGCAATTAACTAAGGGATACGTTTTTTTTTTCTTTCTTTAAGTTTGAAAAGAAAATTGATTTTAGATTATTATTTATAAATTGCATATTTAGATATCACTTTCCCTAAACTTTCTCCGCAAAACCTAAAATTGTCGCTCAACTATCTAACTCACCACATCCACTTTTATTATATTCGCTAACTATCTACAAATACTCAAACTCAAGAAGTTGGCATAGAAATTTGACATCCATCAACTTTAATTTTGGTTGTGATATCAACTTCCTTCAAGCATCCCATGATATCTTCTAACCACCGACCCTTCTTCGCATAATTCTCAAATATATGATCATTGTCTTGAGACAATGGATAGAAGAGATAATGAGTGTAGCAGATTTTCAGAAAATATGAATATCATTGTTCGGATTAATATTTCCCCATCAATGTGTTTGTTTGATGAAGTTATTACATGTAGATCTTTCATATCTGTGATAGGTTGTAAAAGGTGATGGATTTTAGTTTATTGAGAAATTGATTTTAGGATACGTATTGTAGTAGTGCTGGAGCCAAGCATATGAGGATTCCAATTGTTGGAACTAAATTTGGTATTGAGGTGTAGCTAATTGATTAATATGTATTGTGGTAGTTTGCTAATTGTTGATTTAAATAATTATTTACGGGATTGTAGTCATTTCCTATATTTAGATTTGATATATGGCAAGTGGGTTTGGAGAATCAACTAGCAGGACACCCTCAAGTCCTTCTTGCTCCACTAACAATGGTAATTGTAACGATGCTGGCAACTTCGAGTGCAATATTTGCTTTCATTAAGCGCAGAACCCGATTGTTACTCTCTACGGCAATAATGGAGGTAATATATTAACGCTTTACTACATATTTGTACTCCTTAATGATTGTTGCTCCTTTTAAGTTATGTACTTATCGTGTTTAATGACATATTTTTTCATCCGCATGTGGCTGCTATTCGTAATCTAATGTACTAGGGAGTAGCCCATGTGTCTTAGTTGGGTACCAGCATAGCATCACATGCCAAATGCAAAACTTTGAATTATAGGATGCCTCACATGATTTGACTGAATATTGTGGAGTCATGGTAATTTCGTGACATGCTTTTCATTCAGATTTTTTTGAGCCATCGACTTATGAGATATCTAAAAAAGAAATATTGGTAATTTGTAATTTAATCAATAAGCAATATTTCTTAGTTACACATTTTTTTTGCAGAAATTTTTTTTCTACCACAGTGGGAAGTAAACTGCCTCATGACCCTCGAATGCTGACTAATCCGCCTCTTCTTCGGAATAGAGTGAATACAAATATCATTCTCATATTTTAGGTATACTTTTATCATGCCTTGAATATTTTTCTCCTTATCTGTATAAAAAAAAAATAGGAACTAGGTGCCATCCATATAGTAGAAATTGTGCTGCTTCTTAAAAAAAAGAATAATGAATAAATTAAAACAAGTAGCTTGAAATTATAAGTTGGATATACATATGTTTAGGTATTCATTTTGCTGTTTAGAAATCACATTCATAGTCAATAACAAACAATGCAAAAATNATATATATATCAATGCTTCTAAATGTTTATTTGAACAGAGTAAATCTACTTTATACTCATTATGATGCTTGCAACCTTTAGGAAAAATATTCTGTTTAACTTATGAAATTTGGAGTTCATCATTATAAGCCTAGCTTTCAGCTTTATACAATTAAGTGTTAAAATAAATGATGAATTTTTTTGTTAGTACAGTAACTTTAAAATATTTGTTAGAAGGATATGAAAATTATGCTAGAAGTAAAGTGTTGAAAATATATTTGGACTTATCTAAGCTCTAAAAGCTTTGCCCCTATTAAAAATCGATGTGTTTATATATAAATCACATTCATTTTGCTAAGTCAAAAGCTAAGCTTCAATAGTGTTCAGTTGTAATGGTAAGTGCAGTACTTTGAAGCTTTGAATAATATTGGAAAATATGACAAATGAGGCAAAAAAAAATTTATTTACTTTACTTTTTGTTTATACTTAGTTTTAGTGGCTTAAAAATTTCATATTTTAGAGAAAGTACTTCTATCGAGGATAATGAAAAATAATAGGGGTAAAGCTTATTTTTCATTAAAAAAGCAGTTGGGAGTATTTTTTTAGTAGTTACACTTTTTTTTCATGTAGGTTACATTATTTTATACATATTTTCTCTACTGACTATTTCTCACTTTGTGGTATTAATAGTACTTGATGCTATTCTATTGAGAGATTGTGATTGGGTGAGACTCGCATGACAAGTTTGAATGGGCAATAAGAGGATGATGGAGTTGAGCTACTATTTTGTTGATCCTCTCAAGACTTGATCGATGATTTGTCCATAAGAAAATCAAGAATTTATGCAATTTATTTTTGTTGATTATTACTTGATTTCTTAAGAAAATGGGAATACTCTATTTTGGATCTCAAGCATACTTTCAGTCTTTTAGGGATGATTTTTTAAGCCATTTTTTGGTTATTATATTTGTCATTACTGGTTTTATTTGCTACATGCGGGACTACTTTGAAGGATGGGAAGTGATCAAGATTAAAGAAATTATGTGGTTTGAATGCGGTCGGTAAATTTAGTCTGTAATATACGTCGGTTTCTATTATCTCCCACCGTACAATTTTTATTTTCAACGATCCGCGCATCACACGGGTACATATACTAGTTTTATTAAATTAAAAGAAGAGGCAGAAGCCCCTGGCATCATGAAATTAAGATATTCGGCACTTTAGGACATAACTCCCAAAAAATAGGAACTAAAAATTAATTTGGGGAAAAAACCTTTTACAAACTGACCACGCCCAATTATGCCTTATAAAAAGGACTAAGCGGTCGTTGCAAATATAATCCGATTTACAAGTCCGGAGTCGAATCCCACAGAGAACTAAGGTTTAGCTACAATTATTCACTATCACCAAGAATACAAGCTTGAACAATTCCTAACTTATAGAAATTAAGATTCTTGTGTTTAACTAACTAACTAACAAATTAAAATAATAAATTAACACTAAAGATACTACATGTTGGAGAAAATATTAAGGAGGTCTAGAGTTATGATTTCCCTAATTGTCGGAATCCTTCCCGCTATGTCTTCTATAATTTCGCCTAAGTATTCTCTACCGATCATGAGCGCTCTGCGTGTTGTAATTCTCTCCCGAGTAATTTCGACAATTTACTAGACATACTATCCCGAGTTACACTAGCTGGCTTTAATTACAGCTCACTTAGATCGCACCCAAGGTTTCATTATCCATAATCCCACCTTTAAACCCTTGGTTATTGATTCCTCACATACGTCGGGAGTAATATTGTTCAACAACTACCTGAATATGCACTCTCTTCCGAGTAATACATACTAAATAGGCACAACTAATTGAGGGCCCTTCAATCAACCACAAGAATAATATAGTTGAACAAATATAGAAAATATTACGGCACAATTATATAAACATACCAAGAATTTATTCCACAAAAAGTTTTATCAAAACTCTAGATAACAAATTAGCTATTCATAATAGTATGTAAAACTACAATACTAAAAGTCATACCAACAATGAAAAAGGTAAGAGGAAGGAAAAATTCCTAGAAGAATTCTCCGCCTTGCTCCTATTGTGTCCCTGCCTCCTTAGGATGAATCTGTGCCAAAAGTATGTCCAACACTTCAAAATAGCATTTTAAAATGTATTTATACCAAGTAGGGTCGGGCCCAGATAAAAATACCTTATCCCACGCGACATAGGACACTCACTCTGTAAAATTTGTACTATCGCGTCGCCCCATGCGGGGCGGCAGTGGAAAAGCTCAGATTGATGATTTTGATAGGCTGCAGAAAAATTCCATAGGCATGGCGCACCGCGTGCCGCATCACGCACCGCTATAATGGGAATTTGCAAAAATTCAAAACATGAAAGTTGTAGACCTTTCAAATATCTTTCCAATGATATATTGTGGATCCCAAACGGAGTTTTGAGTGAAAAGTTATGTACATTTTACTAGAATGCGCCGTATGCCCGCTCGATTCTCCATTTCGTTCTTAATTATCATCCATTGATCCCCGAACACGATCCCGGCTTAATTCCTTGGGATTTTACTCAGACTTCAAAGCTCCAAATCACTTGAATTCATTCCATAATATCTACATAGCTCGAAATCACTCCTACAAGGCATAAAACATACAATTAGTGCAAAATACTAGCGATTAAAGCTCAAACTCAATTAAAGTGCAGTAAATTTAGAGTGTAATAAGCGACTAAAATATGTAATTATAGCCGATCATCAACACCCCACACTTAAACTATTGCTCGTCCTCAAGCAATTAAACTACACTTCATAAAGACACGACCTTTTTAAACAACTCTTCTAACTCGTTATACCAAGAATATTTAAAATAGACTAAGCACAAGAGTGTAACATCTTCACCTCAAGATTTGACTCACAAGTACTACGCATTATTCACAACTCACTCATTTACTCTAATATATAGGTCACTGAAACTACCTTTCCTTCATGAATCAAGTGCCCTCACACAACAAAAGAGAGTAGTTCCACACAATAAAATTTAAGAACACTTAGGAACTCGAGATAGAAAGAATTCACTCACTCTCAGAAACGACATTCATATGCAACAAGAGATGCACCATAGGCTTGCTCGTAGTGCACTACTCTACTAATCGAGCTCATTCAGTCTAGGATCAAGTATGACTTTATTTGGTTGTAATGTAGGTTGCGGGTTGGGTAGGATATATTTGGATATAAGAGTGACAATACCTCCATAAGCACTTTAATACATATACTTTAACATTCAAACCCATGCTTATGTCAAACCATGACTCCACCTTCACATCAATATACATCAACTCCCAATTTATTTAAGCACAATTACATCAAGAGTCACCACAATCAAAGAATATTTTTCACAGCAATACAACTATTTCTTATTTCTTTTTCTTTTCCAATTCAAGTGGCTCTTACTTATTCAAAACTGTGCACATTTCTCCTTATTTCATTAGTTTCACTCAAAAGCCAACCCAATTACCCACACTTTAACTTTTACAAAGTTCATAACTATTCAAGTGATCATGAGAGGTTAAAAAGTTCAAATAGATGATTAATTCAAACAATTGGATAAGGCTTGTAATGTGGTTGCCAAAGAATCAGGATTATAGGCTCAAAGGGGTTAACTACGATATGTAACAATTAGGCGGACAAAATATACATATCTAGCTCAACAAAGAAACGCCTATATCACTTCCTAGACTAAACAAAGCTACTATTCCGCTTTGCAAACACACGGGGCAAGTTCTAGACATCAAATGCAACGCATAGAATAACACAAAATCTTACACACACACACACACATGACACATAACTCACTCAAGCTTGGATTCATCAAGATACTCTAGTCAAAGCAGTTAAGCAAATTTAAAATCATACAATTTAAGGTAGTTATACAAGAGTCAAAAATTGAGCTTAAGCGTCACAACCAAAGTACTCTCTATTCTCAAGGCATAACAAAGTCAAGAGATATTGCTTCAATTCAAAACACAACACAAGTTTTCCTATTTCTACAAAAAAAAAACTAACTACATCCGATTTAAATAAAACCCTTAGAAAAGAATCGCGACACAAAGAAAAACCAAGGAGGAATTACTACACTACCTACAAAGAAAATCTTTTTGTCCTTTTTTCTTTAGACTTAAATCCCTCAAGAAAATTGTCTAGGATATCCATCGTCGGGAAAAGTCTAATCATTTAAACAAAAAGTATTATTCAATTAAACTAACACAACTAAAGTAGCATAGAAAGTCACTTAGAGAATCTCCTCACCCCACACTTAAAATTGTGCATTATCCCCAATGCACATCATAACTATAAGAGGGTAAGAGAAACTCCCTGGTAGGCCAAAGGCCGAAGCACTAGCAGCTCATGGGGTACTCAGACTTCTCCCAGTCTTGGTAATTCATGCTGGCACCTCACACTTAGTTCCAACCATCTGGTTTGTTGTTGCATCCTTCCAATAGCTTTGCTTTCCATGCTCCTAGAAAATAAAAAATTGACACTACAAAAATAATACAATTAAAAATAATAAAAATAAAAAAATAAAATAAAGTAATAAAGCTGGGTTGCCTCCCAATAAGTGCTTGATTTAACATCGCGGCACGACGCGAATCACTTTTTTCCTCCACTTTGAACTTATGAATTGAACCCCTAATTTGGCATCAAGTTTTGGGCTATGCTCCAGGGGTGGAGGAACGAATCTGACTAGCCCAATAAAATAATATAGTATTGTGCACTTCTTGGCCTTTGGATGAGATGTGTATTCCCGACTTTCTAGCACTAAGAATTCCAGAATGTAGGCATCTTGTTCCTTACTCCTTGACTCCTCAAGTGGCTCGGACTACTCTATTTTCATATCATCATCCATACACAATGTGAAAAAATGCTTGGAGTGTGGACCAATACGCTCAACTACACAAACATTGGGATTGTCAACATCCTTAACACTAATGACACTAGAGTCAACTAAATATGTATCATCAATATCCTTGGTTGACTCTAGTATCTCTTCTACGACATCGGCATCCTCAAAATCTTGTTCGATTGATTGTTGGTGCTCTGCTCTGGACTTCTCCTCTAGATCATCCTCGTATTTTTGTAAATCCTCCAGTATAATGGCAATTTCTGCAGCCAATTCATACTTATATTGGCTACTATCCACAATGTCAACTTGTTGCGTTTTACCAGGTTCAATTAATTTATTCGCTTGAGCCTCCAAGTTATGAATAGTTGCCCCTTTCCTTTGTACCCGCAGTTGTATCTCATCATATTGTTCCATAAGGCACTTTAGCATATCCTCGATCTCTTTTAGGTCCTCATACCAGGGCTCTTTGTTCCTATTAACTTCATAAGAAAAAGAAGAACCATCAAAGTAAGGGGTTGGGGGAAAATAAGAAATATAAGCACAACCATGAAAGTGATCATCTTGACCACCACACATATCACACACATTTCACACATAAGATTGAGTTGGTGCACATAACTCGCTCTCGAAAATATTTTGATAGTTTTGCCCTGCGTGGTTTCCTCCATAATATGCATAACGAGGATCAAAAGTAGAATTACCAACATCAAAACTCTCATAATTCCAAGATGTCATGTCTCTCAGATCAAAATAAAAAAATTAAAAATAAATAAATAATCAAATACATGAAAACAAAAATAATAGTTCAAACTTGCAACCTAGAAATATGTACACCTACAACTACATCGTTAGTTCCCTGGCAACGGCATCAAAATTTGATCACGCCCAACTATGCCTTATAAAAAGGACTAAGCGGTCGTTGCAAATATAATCCGGTTTACAAGTCTGGAGTCGAATCCCACAGAGAACTAAGGCTTAGCTACAGTTGTTCACTATCACCAAGAATACAAGCTTAAACAATTCCTAACTTATAGAAATTAAGATTCTTGTGTTTAACTAACTAACTAACAAATTAAAATAATAAATTAACACTAAAGATACTACAGGTTGGAGAAAAGATTAAGGAGGTCTAGAGTTATGATTTCCCCAATTGTCGGAATCCTTCCCGCTATGTCTTCTATAATTTCGCCTAAGTATTCTCTACTGATCATGAGCGCTCTGCGTGTTGTAATTCTCTCCTGAGTAATTACGACAATTTACTAAACATACTCTCCCGAGTTACGCTAGCTAGCTTGAACTACAACTCACTTAGATCGCACCCAAGGTTTCGTTATCAATAATCTCACCTTTAAAACCTTGGTTATTGATTCCTCACATACGTCGGGAGTGATGTTGTTCAACAACTACCTAAATATGCACTCTCTTTCGAGTAATACGTACTAAATAGGCATAACTAATTGAGGACCCTTCAATCAACCACAAGAATAATATAGTTGAACAAATAGAGAAAATACTACGGCTCAATTATATAAAAACATAACAAGAATTTATCCCACAAAAGGTTCCATCAAAACCCTAGATAACAAATTAGTTATTCATAATAGTATGTAATACTACAATACTAAAAGTCATAACCAACAATGAAAAATAGGAGGAGGAAGGAAAAACTCGTAAAAGAATTCCCCGCCTTGCTCCTATTGTGTCTCTGCCTCCTTAGGTCGAATGTGTGTTGTCACACCTCCTTTTTCGCTACACCCCGGAAGGGAGTATAAGAGAGTTTTTTCCAATTTAAGTGACAATTGAAATGGGATTATTTTATTAAAAATTCAGAGTCACCACTTGGGATAATTTATGGTGTCCCAAGTCACCGGTTCAAATCCCGAATCGAGGAAAGATTGACTCTGTTTTACAGTCCGTGAACACAGAAAATTCGGGTAAGGAATTCTGTTAACCCAGGAGAAGGTGTTAGGCATTCCCGAGATCCGTGGTTCTAGCATGGTCGCTCAACTGTTATAATTGGTCTATTATCTGATTTTAATACATGTTTTAACCTATGGTACAATTTTAACTCTTATACCCGCTTTTTTTCAATTATCACTTTTTAGGAAAGATTCAACGTTATATAAAACACGTCTTGAACCACGTTACATAAATGCACCTGCGGTCTACGACACATTTCATCTAACGTTGTTGAGATTTGGATTTGGGTCACATAAATACACACCCGAGTTTAGGGAAGTAATTTTAAATAGCGCGCCTAAAGCAACTACGCACTTTCAAGTTTGCGAGGGCCATGGAAAATTCAACTAATGGCACACCTCGATTCTAATTTCAAAGGAACGTACTCAACTAAAGCAAACTACGGATGTTCATAACTATTTTTCTAAAGCTAATTTAAGATTATTGCAAAGCCAAGGGTTATGGGTTAATTTGAAGAAATTGATAAGTTACTAACTATTATATGAAGCATTGTAGTTCCTTGAATTTCAGTTTTGGAGGAAGTCGAAACATTCCAAGACTAGGCAATTAGTTAATCCCCAAAAGTAACTCATTACAAAATTTGTTTGAATTGCTAGTCTAGGTGATTTAGCTAAGCAGAAGGCAATCAACTGAACAGAAGAACGGCCTTAGCAGAAGTCATACTTTCTATACAAAGTCACGTGCTAAATGGGAGGGCTATCTATATCAAAAATCATTTTTGTGCCTATTTACACTCCATGCTTTTCTAACACTAATCAGATTCATAACCATATTAAAACATAATCAAAAAAAAAAAATTGAAGGAGCAGAAAACGACAAACTAACCAGCAAACAATCAGGCCTCAGCAATTCGAGTTTTAGTTCAAATACACAGTAATACCAAGGATCAACAGAAGAAAGATTTAGAGTAACTTTGAGACCTAAAACATGTTGAATCTATAAAGCCACTATAAACAAACATAACAGCTCAGTTTTATTTAATCCTAACAGGGAATTACAGCTTCAAAGATGTACATACCTAAAAGTAGGACAATCGCAAAGAAACGGACCAAAATAATGGTCTGAGTTCAGCCACCAAACAGTCGATTCAACAGTAGAAATCAACACCCAGCTTTGGTCTCGAGTTATAAGTTGCCTTGGATCCCAGAAAATAACTTGACGGACTGAAATTCAACTCATGAGAATGGCAGCGGGAACGAAGGTAAAGTTGCTGCGTTTTGTGGTAAGAGATAGCTAGTCGAAGATGACGAAACTCCGGTGTCGACACTGAAAAGCTCGAAAACAACTTCGATTGCTCAAGAAATAAAGATCAGAGGTGGATGTCGTTTTTCTTCTAAAAAAAAATTAAATTAGAATGAGTGAGCGATGAGAGCCCATGTTTCTCCCTTCCCTATCTTCTCGTTCTTTTCCTCTCCTTTTTGTGCATTTTTGAGTGTGTGTGTTTATGTGAAGAAGAAGAAGAAGAAGAAGACGAAGAAGAAGCTAGCGTCGTTGTACTCTCTAGGGGAATGGTCTATTCCTCTGATGGATTTTTTGTTCTCCCCCTATTTAATGTGAGGGATTTAGGGTATAAAGAGGGAAAAAGGTTAATGGGTCAATGTTCTGGGCCTTTAAAATGGACTAGGGATTTAAATCAAATGGGTTGTTCCAAGCTGGACCACTCCGATTTTGAGCTACAAAATGGCCCTTGTGCCTTTCTTTGTTTTCTTTTTCTTTTTCTTTTCTTTGATTTTAAATCCAATTAATTAAAATCCTAAAAATTAAAAATCCTAAATTATCCATAAGTGCGAAATTAAACTAATTAGCTAATTGTAAAAATTATAAACAATACTTAATCCTAAATTAAAAGAGAAAAAATTAATAAAAGTGTAAAAAAATAAAGCATTTTTTTGTGATTTTCAATTTTTTTATAAAACAAGTAACTACCAATTAATCCTAAAAATGTACAAAATAAAGCCTAAATGTCATGCATGATATTTTTGGTATTTTTCATGATTTAAATAAAATAAATGTGCACAGACAAATGCAAGCAATTAACAAAAAATGCTACAAAAATCCACGAAATTGCAAACAATTGGAAAGATTTATTTTGTTTGAATTTATGGGAATAATTTATATAGGGCAAAAATCACGTGCTCACAGCTGCCCCTCTTTGCTCGGAAACACAGAGAGTTTTCGTGCAAAGATAAAGTGAGCAGATACGAGCGATTTTTGCCAGTTTGAATACTCCGTGGGAAGCATTTTTGAAAGATTTTTGACCACACCCTGCTTTCAAGTTTGCCTACATATCCTTGGCTATAAAGGAATCAGATCAGTGTAGTTCGAAAAGTTTCGGTAGCTGGGACTACCATGAAGCTGTGATTTCAATGTTGTTGTTGCTGCTGCTACTGCTTACTGAACTCCTTATTACACCATGACAAAATAAAAGAAGCTAGACTAAACTATGATCTATGCATTACAAAAATCCTATCTATATCCTCAAACTTGATCTTGTGATTCCTGTTGCCTTGTTGGCTTGTATTCTCCAGGTGAAGTTCCTTTGTTGCCGACTTGAATTGTAATCTGAGATGCTTTTCCTTTTCTCCAGGTGGACGCCTGATTGCTGAAGCTTGATTTTCTTTGTTCTCCAGGTGGGCTGCTGATTACCGATGCTTGATTTGCTTTGTTCTCCAGGTGGGCTCCTGATTACCAACACTTGATCTGCTTTGTTCTCCAGGTGGGCTCCTGATTACCAACACTTGATCTGCTTTGTTCTCTAGGTGGGCTCCTGATTACCGACACTTGATTTGCTTTGTTCTCCAAGTGGGCTCCTGATTACCAACACTTGATCTGCTTTGTTCTCCAGGTGGGCTCCTGATTACTAAAACCTTAGCTGTATTCCCTTGCTCTCCAGGTGGGCGCCTGATTTCCAAAACTTTAACTGTATTCCCTTGCTTTCCAGTTGGGCTCCTGATTACCAAAACCTTAGTTGTATTCCCTTGCTCTCCAGGTGGGCACCTGGTTACAACATTTGAACTATATTCCTTTGCTCTCCAGGTGGGCGCCTGATTGCCAAAACTTCAACTGTATTCCCTTGCTTTCCAGGTGGGCGCTTGATTACCAAAACCTTAGTTGTACTCCCTTGCTCTCCAAGTGGGCACCTGATTACAACATTTGAACTGTATTCCCTTGCTTTCCAGGTGGGCGCCTGATTGCTAAAACTTTAACTGTATTCCCTTACTTTCCATGTGGGCGCCTGATTACCAAAACCTTAGTTCTATTCCCTTGCTCTCCAGGTGGGCACCTGGTTACAACATTTGAACTGTATTCCCTTGCTCTCCAGGTGGGCGCCTGATTGCCAAAACTTTAACTGTATTCCCTTGCTTTCTAGGTGGGCGCCTGATTACCAAAACCTTAGTTGTATTCCCTTGCTCTCCAGGAGGGCACCTGATTGCCAAAACTTTAACTATATTCCCTTGCTTTCGAGGTGGGCACCTGATTACCAAAACCTTAGCTGTACTCCCTTGCTCTCAAGGTGGGTGCTAATTACAACATTTGAACTGTATTCTCTTGCTTTCCAGGTGGGCGCCTGATTGCTAAAACCTTACCTGTATTTCCTTGCTCTTCAAGTGGGCACCTGATTACAACATTTGAACTGTATTCCCTTGCTCTCCAAGTGGGCGCCTGATTGCCAAACCTTTAATTGTATTTCCTTGCTTTCCAGGTGGGCGCCTGATTACCAAAACCTTAGTTGTACTCCCTTGTTCTCCAGGTGGGCGCCTGATTACAACATTTGAACTGTATTCCCTTGCTCTCTAGGTGGGCGCC